TTTTATTTTTATTTTAACTAATATGTTTTGTCTTTGTTTTACTTGTTAGGTTTATTCAAAGAAAAAAAGGGGGGAGGGCAAAAAGGAAATTTCACGAAGAAGATTGGAAAAGAGGATGAGAAAAAGGACTCAATTGAAGAGATGAAAAGTTGGAGGGGTGAAATGCAAAGTCTAGCCCAAAATCCATCAAACCCAAACCAAAGCAAAATTACCCAAAACCCAAAGCCTACCAACTACCCAAACCCAAAATCCCAAAACCAAAAATCACCCAAAACCCACAATTACCCAAACTCAACCCAACACCAACCCATTTCAACTTAAAACCCAATTATCCAAAAACTCAAAAAAAAAGGGGGAAATAAACGAAAAAGAGAGGGATCTAGAACCTTCTCCTTCCCCCATCAATCTTTCCTCTCTTCTGCAACCGAGCCAGCCTACCCCTCTGCACCGCGCCCAGCCTTGCACTCCCACGCCTGCTCAGCACCCCTAGCTCCTACGCCCCTAGCTCATGCGCCCAGCTCTGCACCGAGCTCTGCATCCTTGGCCTCTGCGCGCCTGCACTCTGCGCCTCACTGCCAGCTTTGCTCTGCACCAGCTCCTGCGCTCTGCACCAGATCCCCTTGCCGCCTGCTGCGCCGAACCCACGTTGCTTGCACGCCTGCACTCTGTGCCAGCATCATGACCCTGCACCGAGCCTTGCTGCACCCTTGCTGCTCTTCCTCTGCACGCTACAGAAGCTCCAGACAAATTGGCATTATTATTGATTGACAGAGCAAGGCCCTTTTTTATTATTTTTATCTTTATTTTTATCTTTTATTCGGGTATATATATAGAGAAAAATCAGATTGACTGGGGGGGTTTTTTTCGGGTTGATTTTCGGAACTGGAAGGGGATTTCTTCTGGTATTGAGTGTGGCCGGTTCTGATTTTGGAGTTGATTTTGGAGTTTGATTTGGGAGTCATTGTTCTGGGTTTCGGGAGAAAAGAGAAAGAAGAAAACCGAGCTGATTCCGGCTAGATTCCGGCAGTATTTCTGCCTCCTTTTGCTAGGTATTTTCCTGCAACAGAGGAGTCTTTTAGGGGAGGCAGTGAGGGGAATGATCTGGGCTTGATCCCGTGGGTGGGATTCCCCAGATCGGACTCCGATCTGTTACCCGGAAAGCTCCGCCGTGCTTGTTTCTTTGTCTTTCTGCTTCTGTGATCTGCTTTTATGTTATTTATGTTTGTTTTTGTTTACTGAAAATCAATGAAAAATAAAAAAATGTCCATTTTATTTTCCTGATGAATATTGTTTATCCTTTTTTTGTTGGAAATGAGACGCAATTGAAATGAACCCTAAATTTCATTTTTGTTGCTGTCCAGATTCTATTTCTGTCTTGTTTGATCGGTTTTCTTTGCATATTTTGTGAATGGTATTGTGTTTCCAGGCAGGTTGACCCGACCCAAGCTAAAAAAAAAGAGTAAATAAAATGATAAATAGTTTAATATGTGATTAATAAAGTTAATTAATTTTAATTAGAGTGAATTAATTATGTTTATTGATCTTAATTTGAGATAATTAGATCAAGTTAATTATCTTGATTAGAGGTTAATAAATATGATTAATTAATTTTAATTAATGATAAGTTAACCATTCAATTGAATTAATTATCATAATTAATTAATTTTAATCTTCCATTTGCCTTAATCTTGTTTTAAAAAAAGAAAAGAAAAGTTATCTCTTTTTTATTTCAATTTCGCACAAAACTCTCATGTTCAAGCACCTTAGTCCAAATGTTTCAAATCTTTTCAAATCAATCTTCCACGTTTTTTTTTTGAATTTAATCGAATCAGTCCTCCATCTTTCGGATTTAATCAAGTTAGTCCCTTAACCTTATATTTTTGTTATTGTGCATGCATGTCTTTGATTTAGTCCATTTTAGTCCAAAAAATTAAAAAAATGTTTCAATTTGGTTTATTCCTTTTTTTAAAGTTTTCCTATTAAGATTCAAACATAAACATGATGAATCAATTGAATCAAAACCCCCAATATTAAAGTATACAACCGTGTTTAAACAGAGGATTGTGAGGTGCGCGTATGTCCTTCATCACTTCTAACTGAACCCTCGAACCTCGATCTCTGCGCAGATATATTTTTGGTGACTTGTCCCACCTTATAATTTAATTTGGACGAGTGGCGACTCTTTTTTTATATTTTTCACACTTGATTTTCAATTTATTTTGAAAAAATCTTAAGTGGTCATCAACACACATTTAACTATAGATTTTAATATTTAGAAGTAGGACTCACTGTTGAGTGTTGAGTTAATCCGCCACCACCATCATCATGAGTTCCTGCACATGAAAATGAAATCCCTACAAAGTTTACCAAGAGATTGTGAGATTAGAATTTAAGTTATTTCT